TTAATTCAGAGATTAATATTGGTTGTATCAAGTCATTGTATATATTGGAGTTAATATTTGGTAAAGGTTAAAGAAACTGTATCCATTCATGTTTAAAATTAGGGTTTGTTGGGTTGTGTTTAGTTCAGTTGTTAAAGTGTTCTTTTGTTGCTTGTTTTATTTCTTCTGGATTGTTAATTATTTTATCTGATGTTATGATTTTGTCAAAAGAGACTTGGTCTTAATTGCATTTAAGTATACTGTTTATTATGCGTGATGTGTTTGATTCTATGCCATTATATCTTCATTGTATGTAGAACTTTATTTTTTCTTTTTGTGCATTTTGGATTTCTAGACTGTGAGCTTTCTATAAGGTTTTTTGAAGCTGCTTTACAGTTTGCTGAAAATTATTGAAGTTTGAAGTGAGGTCCTGGATTTGGTATAGAGTAATAGGTTGTTCTGAGTATAAAGATATTTGTTGAAATAAAACATTTAGATCTTGTATTGTATACTGAATTGAAGTTGGAGGTTTGATATTTCTCAAGATAGAAAGACATTTGTTTGTTAGTTTAAGTGCTAAGTGTAGTTTTGTTGCTTTTAGGGAAAAGGTGTAGTATTTTTTAGGCACTGTATATGTTTTTGGTATTATTTGATTTGTGACTTTTTTGATTGAATTTGACCATTTGTTCCATAGGTTGTTTAGTTGTTGTAGTGTTGTAATATTGTGAATCAGGTTTATTAACTTGATTTCAGTCTCTAATTTGTTAGTAAAGTCTTCCTATGTGTCTGTTGTTATTTGGTGATAGAGATATATCTTTCTTTTCTTTTTTTTGGATCTAGATATCTTTAGTTGAAAGTTTGTCTTCCAAGTAGTAGTAATTATTTTGTGATCACTATCAGTAATATCAACTGAGTCAGTAATTAAGGGTGGGGTAAAGTCTAAAAGGATTTCAGAATTGACCCATATATCATTGATCTGACTTTGGTTTGAGCTTCTTTGCCATGTTGGTTCTGTTATAGCATAGAATTCTAGTAAACTTGTAGCTGATAAAGATTGAAATAACAAGAATAAGTTTGCTAATCACTTGCATCTGTTTGAGTTGTCATTAAAATCTCCCATTATAATAGTATGCCAATTATTGTTTCTTGTTTGGGTTAACCAATTTATGATTGTGTTTTGAGTAGATTTGAGTTGTTCTGAGTGATTTGAAGGTAAGTATAATGAGATTATATAAAGTTTATTATTGTTAAGAAGGTGAAAATCAATGCAGATTGTGGTGCCTGGGATGGTTTGTATGTTGAATATAAAAGGTTGAAGTAAGTTATGAAGCATTATTGCAGTCCCCATGCTGGCTTCACATTGAGAGCTGTTTTTAGATATGAAGTTTGATATATAAATTTTGTAGAGTGGATTAGAGAGTTCTGCAAATGAAGAATTTTTTAGTTTTGTTTCTGTAATAGAAACAATGTAATAATTATTTTTAGTACAGAATTCAAGTCATATTTGTAACTTTAGTGGATCATTGAGTCCTTAAATATTATGAGTAGCAATGTTAAGATGATCCTTAATGTTTATAGTAAAATTGTTTATAGAAGTGTTTGATAATTTAGTTGAGTTGTTGTTGTCTAATTGGGAGGATTGTAAATACAGTTTTAATTGTGTAAAGCTCATTGTTAAGGGAAGTAGTTGTTAAAAATATCCCAGTAAGGGTCAGGTAGGTTGGGAAGTTCGAAGAGTTGTGGAGATAAACCTTGAAAAGAGAAGTGATTATGAAGTTATGAGATGATGTCTTCTATCTGTTCATGTGTTGTAATTGGTAGTTGGATAGTTTGAGATTGATCTAATTCTCTTAAAGTTGTTTGGATTTCTTCAAGACTTGAAGAAAGGTTTGGTTTAGTATTTTTTTTTTTTGTAGTATTATTGATTGAGATCTATTCTGCAGGCAGTTGGTAGAAGAAATAGTATGTACAGAGTTGTCTAGCAGTTTCTACTAAGATTTTAGGACTTGTAATAAGAAGTATTAGATTAAGCTCAGTAATCAAAATAGGATCTGTAGATAATTGAGATTTGTTTGTAGGATTAACAGTCATATACTCTAGTGATAGTGGGATGTTGAATTTGTATGTATCTTGTATTTCTGCTATGAATTCCTTTGCCAAATGATAATCAGTTATAGGAAAACTGTAAGTAATAGAAGTCTTGATTTGATTTGGTTCTTTTGGAAGTGGTTTTTTTTGGATAAAGTAGTCATTTGGAATTTTGTAAAAGCTATAATGCTCTCAAAAAATGTTTACATAGTATTGAAATCAGTTGAATCTTTAAGGTTGTAAGGAAAAAGGTATCTCACAGCTGAATTAAGGTTTTGCAGTGTTGATGATAAGAGTTCCTAAATAGGTGGTAGGTTAAAATAATTAGATGGTATATAGTCAAAGTTGTAATATTTACACAATTTTTGTCTATACTCTGCTAGATAGGATAATTCAGATTGACTTGTTATTAGAAACATTGCATATGTTTCTGCATTTAGATCGATTAGATTATTAGGAAGAGGAATGATAGGATTAGCAAAGTAGCTGTCATTGAGTTGATCGAAAGTATAGATTTTATAAAATACAAGGGGTTTGAGTCAATATCCCAAAGATCAAAATTCCTAAGGTACTAAATCTCAATACACTAAATCCTAAAAGAACAAAATTTCAAAAATACAATATCCTAAAAATTAAATTCTAAAAAAAAAAATCTCAAAAAATTACAATCTCAAAAAATTAAAATCCCAAAAGATTAAAATCCCAAAAGATTATAATTTTAAAAAACATAATCATTATGTTTTTTAAAATTATAATTTTTTGAGATTTTAATCTTTTGGAATTATAATCTTTTGGGATTGTAATTTTTTGAAATTTTTTTTTTTTAGAATTTAATTTTTAGGATATTGTATTTTTGAAATTTTATTCTTTTAGGATTTAGTGTATTGAGATTTAGTATCTTTGGGATTTTGATCTTTGGAATATTGACCCAAACCCAAGTACAAGCACTGTTGCTCATGTAAATTTTCGATTCTCAATTGGAAGTAGAAAAGAAAGTATTTCTTTTATGTTTTGGTCGATTAAGTCTGGAGAAGTTGGTAGTGGAATGAGAAGTTGAGAGTGTGCTTCATTCAGAAGTTTTCGTGTTTCTTCGAAAGTGAGTACACAAGAGATTTGTACAAGGTTGAGGCAGTAGAATATGTGTTTTATACATTCATAAGGGCTTGTTGTAAGAAAATCTAAGTTTCTAATATAATCTAAAGCAAGTTTGATTTTAAGTTTCTTATGAATTTGGTCTCTATTAACTTTGTTGATCAAAATAGCATTGTGTAATTTTTTGTATTTTTCGAGAGTAATTTTGTATAGTAAGTTGAATTCTTTTTGATGTTGTGAAGCTGTAGCTTTTGTTCTTATAAAGGAACAAAAGAATACTGTATCTAGGTAATTAAATTTTTGGTTAATAGCATATGGAATATTATGATTTGGAAGAATAGTTTGAATTTTATGGGTAAAAAATTCCAAAAGTTGTTGACTGTCATTAAGGGCTTCAATTATTTTATCATTGTTCCAAGTTTGAAGATCAAAATTAAGTACTCATCTTGTAACAAGAACTTTAGTTACTGAATTACACCAATCAAAGGTTGTGTTGTTTTTTGGTTTTGGTAAGTTAGATATTAATGCTTTGCTGTATGATTACTTGATAACTTGTTGATAATCTTTAGAAGTATTAGAGATGGTGTCCATGTTGTCGGTATACATAGTTAGTATAAAGGTTGATTAAGTTGGTAAGATTTCTGTAAATGTAATTGGTTCAGAGTTCTATAGATTGTTTTCTGGAATAAAACTATTGAATACAGATGCTGAATATAATGGATCAGGTAATGTGATAATGAGGTTTTGGGGCATGGGAATATTTGCTGTTTTGGGTATGTTTGTTTTGGTGACTGAAGTGTGTGACATCATTTGAGATTTTGTAAGAGGTAAACTGGATTGCCTACTTTTTGTTAAATTTTTTCGACAAAAATAAGGTGTAAAAGAAACAGAAGAGTTAGAATTGTTAGTTTTATTTTTTTTTAAAGGAGAGAAGTTTGTTTCTAGTTCTGCATTTTCTTTAGGTCTTTCAATTGGGAGGGCTTGAGATGTCGCTGGTGTAGCTTGGTTATTCAGTTGAACTGGGGCCCTATAGGGATCCATTTGCGAGAGTAGCAGCACTGAGTTGATGTTAAGGGAAGTTTTGAAGTCTTGTAGTTTAGTGGTTGAGGTTCTTTGTCTTTTGGCTATGTTGAATAGGTCTTAGGTATTCTGAGAGTCTATTTTCTCTCTTTTATAAGTATCTTTTGCTCTATTTAATTAATACGTTCGATATTTTAGTACCAGTTTTTGTTTACTTTTTGTTTTTTTCAATGATCTATGAAAAGAGTTTTTGCTCATTCTATATTATATAATATAATATTACAAGCATAATTTTTTATGTATGTATATCAAAAAAGTAATTTTATGTGATCGAAATGGATCAAAAAACGTAATTTTTGTATCACTTGACGTAAACACTTGGGTCCTCCGCTACCTCCGGCCAATTAAGAAATAATTAAAATATTAGTGATAATTCTTTTGTTAAACATGACAATTCACCAAATCTACGCATATACTTACCAGAACAATATTTATACAATGATACTATAAATATGTGTAGAAAATTTTCCAAGAACTAAATTTGTGACTTATAACTAGCGAAATAATCTTGAAAATGATTAACTTCCGTTATATTTTCTCATTTTTCTTCCTTGTTCTGTTTTGTGTTGTATTTTTCCACATTTCGGTCATAAATGTAGGGTTTCCATCATCAACTAATGTTACATTAACAGGCATTCCATCATGGCATAGTGAATTGAAAAGTATATACAATCTTTTTATTTAGTTTTGCTAAATGTGAGTTAATATCTTATTAAAATAAATTATTATCTTTAGATTTTGATAATGACACATTGAAGTCGATGATCCTTTTCACGTCAATTATAGAAATAGTTTCTGGTGTATCTATGCTGATATGGTCATTTAATCATGAAACATTTAATGTCTTCGTACTTAATGAAGTAAAAGTTTCAACAACGTTCTTTAATAAAATACTTGCTGGTTATGTTATTGTAAATGGCATAAGTACACTTACCTTAATTTATTCATATTCGATAAAACTTTTTTCATCAATTGCTTCGATACATAGTTTCTTTGAAATTTTTATATTGGCACTTTTACATCAGGGAGGATGCGTTACTTCAAATCATGCTCTTGCATCAAGTATCATTTACTTGTTAATATCTGAAGGTGCAACTCTTTTATTGCCTATTCCTTATAGTTTCACTTGGTTTAAATTTCAAGGTAAATTATATTATACATTTTTTGTATCATACGATTTTAGCTATCAACTAAATTTGACATATCTTTATAGGCCTTACTATTGATTTTGCATTATTTATACAATTTCTGAGAATATATTTAACGACAAAGAAAATTGCTAGAAATGGTTATTCTAGCTTACCCCAACATGCCTCTGATGAAAATGAACCTGAAGAACACAATCAACCAAATCATAAGTGTCATTTTTATGTGGTTTTATTAACTTTTGGTGCATTTTGGCATGTTTTGGGAAATATTATACTATCGTTATCGATCTTCATAAATCGAGAACTCGCGTATGTTGATCTTCTTTTTTTTTTTTTTACAAGTTTAATTAATTTTATTGATTATAAATGGTTTTAAAAGACATCTTATTAATGTATATTTTTTTTTCACAAACAATCATCTACTATAGTGCTAATTTATATGTTTTCAGTTACGCCTTCATGTCTAGTACACTCGCTTTCTCCGTATATTTTGATACTCACAAAAGATCAAACATGCATCATCAAAAAACGCACATTTTCATACCCGATTCTTCTATCCTAAGTGTTATTTTAGTCGCAACCGCTTCGATAGCACTTTCGATTTTGGGTTCTGGAATTTTCTTGTTTTATTTAAGCACTATTGAGATCTTTTAATGACTTTCTAATGTAAGAAGGAGCTCCCCTAATATTATCTATTAAAAGGAGGAACTTACCTAAGCCTCATGCTAACTTATCATATTAACTCCGACGAAAAAAATTTTTCTTTGCCCAATATTGTATACTCATCCGATAATTTACTATCAGAATACGATTGGTTGCACTTGGTATATAATATTATGGTTAGAAAGTGTATAATTAACAGTAACATCAATAGTATTATAATAATTAAACTATATAAAGTTCGTGCAATTTAAAAAAATTCTTTTCGTGTCAGTAATGTAAATGCATTAGAGAAACTAAATAGTGAATTTAATCAATATAATTGAATTTCTGATTGAATTTTTTTATTTAATAGTTCGTACTCGATAAACAAAGTTGTATCACCTTTAGTTGGTAGACAAAGGGTGCATATTAATTATGGTATCGAGTTTAAAAGCAATTTAAGTTGCTTTTGGCATGTAGAGCAGGCCAAATTGTAATAATACGGGCCAATTTTGCATGGTGCAGGCCATGGGTGCTTATTTTCGGGTGTGCTTAATTTCAAAACTATATTATAATTTTTTTAATTCTAACTAGTGTTCCCCACGAACGGTTTCGGGCGGTTTTTTAAAGACCCGGCCAGAACCAAATAATCGTGTCGAGTCCGGGTAAGACCCGAGAAGTACATTCGCGAACTCTGCAAATAATTTATTATTTAGTTGTGGGTCGAATTTCACACAATATGCATAATTTAAAAGATCCGGAACTGACCTGGACTCGACCTCCGATTCGATTCCGGGTCTATTTCGGGTCTTCGGTGCGGTTCTGCCGAACACTAATTCTAACAGATAATTTGCATCTTTTATATAATTTAAACGCCAATTTAAATATTTATTAGATATTTGTATATTACAATAAATAATATTTGAGTTTAAATCTTATATGTTTCAACAATCTCTTCAGAACATTTTCTGAATAGCTAAGCCGCACTGCTGACTATTAAGAGAAGTAAGTCTAGTAGTAAGAAAAGTAAGAAATTGACTATTATGATGAATTTGTATTGCTGTATAATGTTCAGCAATTTATTAATCCCTGAATACTTTCAGTAAACCCGTAATAGTTTCTAGTCATATATAATAAATATTAATAACAAATAAGAAACTAGGGAATTAATAATTTAGTTGTCGAGTAGGTACTTCCATACTGGTTTTAATAAAACTTGTCATTTTTTGAGTTAGAAAAATGCTAGTTTTTAAATCATGATATATATATATACTATATATTTCATCTTTAGAAATACTTTATAAGCAAATAACTTGTTTATCGGTAAGTTAATAATGCTACTTTACGGTCAAATAGAATTAAAATATTTTAATAATTATGATAATGCAAGTTTATGAGAAAAATTTTCTTAATACATTTATGCTTTTTGTATTTTTGCAATCTTTGAAATCAATTTTGTTACCATTAAGATTTAAGTAAGTCATTGTAATATTTTGATGAAGAGAATCCACTAAGGCTCTTCCGACTTCAAAATTAAGCAAATTATAAGAAAGGTCTAATGAAGTTAAAGTAGTGTTTATGCGAAGAGCTGCTGCTAATGCCTTCCCTCCTTTAAACTCAATTTCATTACCGTTAATATCTAAACTAGTTAAAGTAACATTTTGACAAAGAGCTTTTGCTAATGCTCTTGCTCCTTTAAATCCAATTTGATTTTCCTGAATATCTAAAGATTTCAGTGTTGTATTTATGCAAAGAGCATTTGCAAATGCTTTTCCACCTCTAATACCTATATTATTATAGCCAATATTTAAAGAAGTGAGAGTATTATTCATACAAAGAGCTTTTCCAAATGCTTCTCCTCCTTTAAAATCAATATCATTACCTCGAATATCTAAAGAAGTCAAAGAAGTATTTTTGCAAAGAGCCTCTGCCAATGCTTTTCCTCCCTCAAAACCAATTTCATTATCACTAATATCTAAATAAGTTAAAGTATTGTTTTTACAAAGAGCCTTTGCTAATGCTATTCCTCCTTCAGATCCAACATTATTAGCACTGATAAATAAAGTTGATAGAGTGGAATTTTTATAAAGTGCTTCTGCTAAAGCTTTCGTTCCTTCAGAATCAAGATTATTATTATCAATATATAAATAAGTTAAAGTAGTGTTTATGCAAAGAGCTTCTGCGATTATTTTCCCTTCTTTAGAACCAAGCTGATTAAATGAAATATCTAATGAAATTAAAGTAGCATTTGTGCAAAGAACCTCTACTAGCACTTTTACTCCTTTAAAATCCATCATATTGTTTCCAATATCTAATGAAGTTAAAGTATTATTATTAAAAAGTGCTTCTATTAATGCTCTCGTGCCTATAATATCAAGTTGATTCTCACGGATATATAAAGAAGTCAAGGTTGTATTCTTGCAAAGTGCCTCAGCTAATGCCTTACCTCCTTCAAAACCAATATTATTATAGTTAATATTTAAATAAGTTAGTGTTCTGTTTTTACAAAGAGCTTTTGCTAATGCTTTTCCTCCTTGAAGTCCAATATTAGTATCACTAATATTTAAAGAAGTTAAAGAAACATTATTATAAAGAGCTTCTGCTAGTGCTTCTCCCCCTTTAAAACCAAGTTTGTTAAATGAAAGATCTAGGAAAGTTAAGGTAGCGTTTTTATCAATATTCTTCATTAATGATTTTATTACTTCGGAACCAAAACGATCCAAACGATGTTTTAAATATCTAAGTTTTTTACTAGTTCTTAGGAACATTGTAACCAAAGAACATTTAATGGTGTTCACAATAAAAGTTAAATCATTAGATCTATTCAAATTACATTCTTCAATAAGCCAATTTCTAATTCCATTCGCCAAATAAAAACCAACTGATACGGTATAACTTGTATATTGAAATAATGGTCTTGGATAACGTGGAATAATAATTTTGAAAGGAGTCAATAGAGTTTGTTCTTCAGCATTTAGTGCTGAAAGATACATCCTTATAAGTCTTCTATCATCAAAGTGAATTGTGGGTTCGCTCCATAATATTGGTACAACAATTATACACCATCGACGGTTTACAAGAATGCATGAAAATAAGCTTGAATAATCACCCTTAAGGTTAGAAAATATTTCTAAAAAGCATTCGTTCGGTAACATTAACATTTTAAAAGGATTATGAATTTTTATTGTATACTTATGTACATACGTTACAATGATGAAAGGCAGTTTGCCTCCAATATATAATTACTGCAATGTGAAACCTTGTAATTTGTTCTTACTATATATAGAAGCATTATTATTGTGTAACAGCTTGAATTTGCTTATTCATGTTTGGTAATACAATTTCTAAAATAGAACTATTAACGCCTCGATTATAAGAAATCGTTTAGCGTACCAAGAATATAATAAAGTGTTGTTTGCATCTAGAATGGCGTGATGATAGTGATTATTTATCGACAGATCTTTCACATGATACATATGACGTAGCTTAGCAACCCAGAAACTTGATACGTACAGTATTCAAATTACTTAATTAAGTCAAACATTGACTATCTTTTATGTTCAAGTTTAAAATTATGCATAAGATCATGAAAGATCGACAAATATGTACCAATCCGATTTTTTCGAATAATCATAATATGTGTAATATTTTAGGGTAATAAAACCTGATGTTAGGGTCGAAATAAAGATTATGATATGACATATTATGTACCAAAATTTCACGAAGGATTTTTTTCTATTAGGCGCAAAAGGTGTTTTCATAGTCAAAAGATTGAGTTATTGTCTGTTTTTAAAAAAGTGTGGTAGCTAAAATATTAAGTTTTCGGAATTATTACTTGAATTTTCTCTTGAAACATCAGTATAATCTATACAATTAAAGCGCAACTATCTATTCTGCGTTTCGGTTAAACAATTCAAATCTGATTCGTTATGTAAATTGAACCTGGTACGATTTATATATAATGATAACTATGGTTTCATAAAACAATAGTTGAATGATGATTTAACCGGATTAATGTGAATAATTCAAATGAAATGTATCAAGCAGGCTATTGTCATAGGGTTAAATTGGGATTAAAATGGTAAGTATAGAGTATTTTTATATTGTCTGAAATCATCTAATGCAAAGTTCTAAAACTGCAATTCGTTATAGATATATGAAGTGTCGGCGATGAATGGATTAAAAAGTATTATAACTTGATTTTGGATTTTACATTTTAAAATTATTAATTCTTTAAAAAACAATTACATTAAACATATAAAAATTATTTTATTTGCATTAATTTTTATTTACCTAATATAACACGAAACTGTTTTATACACAATAAATTCAGGCCATAAGTATAATGAATATTATTGGTCTGGGTTTCAAATAAGATGAAATTCGGTAAGTTTTACTTTACTACTTGAAATATTTAAATCAAATATACATTCAATTTAATGTAGTGTTTAATGTCACGACTAATGCCGAAATTTGGGGCACCTTTTTGTTAATGGTTGAGTTAGTGTTTAGGGTTATAATTGATAATTAAAGAATATATATGTGGATTTTAGCAGTGTCTATGTTTTCAAATCACGACCCAAAAAATTTCAGCATCAGCCGCGACAAGAAATTTATTGTAACACTGAAAATGGAAACGAAGTTAGAATATTTAAATATTTAATATAAAATTTTCAAAACTTTTTAGAGCACTTTTTTATAGCTCACTGAAATATTTACAATATTTTTTAAATCAAGATCCTAATTTCCGGCTTTAGGTTCTTCCAGATTCTGCTGTGGTATTCGTTAATCTAAAATTCAAGTTTATGAGTATTTTATTATTTAATTTAATTTTGATCTCATATAAAATAAATTCACTATATTCATTCCATTTGCACTAATATTAAACCATTTAATCGCATAAAGGTTTTTCTATAGGCAATCTTTAAATGGGGTCAAACATTGTACCGTCCGCACATAGACTGTAGAAATGTTAATACGTATATATTGTACGCCAAAAAATTCAAGTATTTATTCTGTTGGCATAAAACAAGTCGTAGTTGACTTTTAAAAAATATAATGATAAGTCAAAATATGTGTTTGAGATTCGATGATTTTGACGGGGCATAGGATTGATTTTACTATCATGTGGTACTCAGAAAACAAATATTATTAAGCCAAAAATTCGTTTATATTTAGATTAAAGTTTAGGAAAGGTAATAGTACAGCTTTTTGGTTAGGTCTCCAAAGATTGTTTACTAGAATAAATTCTGAGAAAAATACGATTTTTGAAAACGAACGTTTGTTTGATTTTCTTTACGTTAAATCTGATTCTGATTCTAATTGGCTGTTATACATTGAAAAATTATATGATAGTAAAATCGACCCTACGCTCTGACATAGATTACAGATTTAGAATCAATTTTCATTAATTTTTTTTAGATTATTACTGAATTACAAATTTAGATGCAAGAAACTTTATC